CCCTAATGTTAGATACAATGTTGTTCTGTAGTGCAATTCTTTAACTTTGTTTTGTGTTACAGACAAATATCGTTAATTTTTATTGTCATTAAAGAGCATCCGAATTAAAAAAATACAATGTGCACGAAAGAGTACATATCTGGCTCTGGTATGAACTATTAATATCGCACAAATTTAACGAAATTTTTGGATAATTCCCTATTCCCTATTTTCGACCATAACCAAGTTAGAAAATAAGCAATATCTCAAACAATTACATTTATCGTTTTCATATTAGTTTTTGCGTTGTCGTGCCCGACATTCGTAAAAACACTGTTTCGAGAAGTACTCTGGCCGTCTCTTGATGCTGGCACAATTAATCGCCTATATCATCCAAAGGTTTTTCTTTTATGTTCGAATGAAAAAAAAAAAATTTCAATTAGTTGAAAGCGAGTACCCGTGTGTACACTACATCTTTTTTAATAAAAAAAATATTATGGCAATATTTATGCCCATTTAAGGTCAATTGTGGACCATGGAGAATTGGCTTTTAAAAATAAACCTTGAAATTATTTTTAATAAAAATGTTGTCATTTGTATTTTTAGTCTCTTGTTATATTTGCATTACACTACTTATTATAATAATTTGGTCAAAGTCGCAAAGAAATTACTCGTGTAACAAGTTGGATGGCCCATTAAAATATTCAATATAAAATAAGACAATAATCATGTGTTTGCGTTAACACAAATTATACATATAATGTATACGAAAAATGTGGTGAATATTGTTGTCTTTTAAAATGCGCATTTTAGTGAAAAATTAATTATTGTTCAACAGGTGACAGTGAAAACATATCTCAAATAAATGAACATTTATTTTGGCCTCCTGATATAGCAACGAATCCTATGTAACATTTTTAGGGTCATTATTATAAGCTATCGCTATTGGGCATATCTCAAACAACAAATAAGCATTTTTATAGCCTTCTAATTCTATGTAATTTTTTAATCAATTGCATTAAATTCATTAGGGGAGGACATAATCTTATTCTTTGATTTTGCTAACGTTAGTTTAAATAAAAAAAGAATCCTTTACAGAATGCTTCTAGCGACTTAGTGTAACAAACACGTATTGTAATACAGCCAATTGTATTTTACGGCATTTTTTGAACTTTGATAATAAATTCCATCGAGCAGTAGTAATTAAATATTCATGATTACCAACATGGCAAAATCTACATGTCCTTTTCTTCTTTTTCATTGGTGGTGAAAATACAGCAAAATTGATAATTTCAGAATTCTGGCGGACATATGAAATTTGTATTTTTTTTTTTTTTTGACCACAAAGATAGAAAATAATACAGATCTTGACCGATTGTATTAATCCAAAAATTAGAATCGATTTCATTATTAGTTTCTGAGTTATATAAGGTCCAGAGTTGAGCATCAAAAGAATTATTTATTTTTTTCTGCTAATTCTAGCAATTTTTGGTACATTCTGATCTTTATTTTCTATAATAAGGATGATTTTCCGAATGTTAGGTGTACTGTTCAAATTGTTGCCTATTTTGATAGATTTTACAGATTTTTTTTTAATTTTTTATCTGTAAATGATTTTATAGGTTCGTAGTGTACCTAATTAAATAAATTTAATGAACATTTTAAAATATTTTCAAAAAAAAAAAAAATATATATATGTATATAAAGTAGAAATTTACATAATGTTTTAATTATGTGGTCACTTCAAAGTATGTTTGTTAGAAAAACCGTTATTTATGGAAAAATTGCATGCAAACATTTTTTTTACACTAAATCTGTTCTGGTATCTGAATTAAAAAAAAAGTTTAAAGTACTTTAAACGAATCTGGGGCTGATCAAGAAATTTTTACCACAGTTAATATTTTAATTACATGTATATACGCACTTACTCATTGAGGACCAAAAAACAATACCATTACAAACAATTTCCTAGAGAACATTAGAAACAATTTCCTATTTAACCATAGAAACTATGGATATAGGATGTGGTACTGTGACAGGAGTTGAAACACTTGCTTTTTATTGTGCCACTCTTGCCTGTACAGACAGAACAGGAGCAGTGACAGTAGGAGTCATATGTGAAATTGCCAAAGAATACATATAAATGCTAACGATGCATCGCTTTTGGGAGCTGGTTGTCTGGAAATGACAACGGTGGTCGGCAAAACTGATATATCATCATTTTGAACGGTGCATGTTAAAGAGTTCACAAGAATAAGAGCAGATCAAGAAATTTTTACATTAGAAACAATTTCCTATTTAACCATAGAAACTATGGATATAGGATGTGGTACTGTGACAGGAGTTGAAACACTTGCTTTTTATTGTGCCACTCTTGCCTGTACAGACAGAACAGGAGCAGTGACAGTTGGAGTCATATGTGAAATTGCCACAGAATACATATAAATGCTAACGATGCATCGCTTTTGGGAGCTGGTTGTCTGGAAATGACAACGTTGGTCGGGAAAACTGATATATCAACATTTTGAACGGTACATGTTAAAGAGTTCACAAGAATAAGAGCAGATTGTCACAAATCGATCTGACAACCCTTGATTTCTCTTATCTCAGACCACCTTCCCACTATGGACTCCGTTAATTGACCACATACGTCATCCGAACTTCTTTCCTTTCTGAATCATAGTAAAGCTTGTAAACAATGTTTCCCAGAACTTATTAATCACCACTTCAAATAGCTTCCCAACGTCCTGCAGTTGGACGAATTCCCGGAGTAAGCTCAAACCCAGTAGAGGATCCGGTATTGGCATATGGGAGTGATGAGCTCTGCCATACGGCTCTTGAAGACCCAAGAAAAATATCTTTCTTTTGAAGACAACAGAATCGTATTCGAACATAAACAAATAACGATACGATATTCCACAAACCCCTCGGGTGGCATATATCGAACTTTTTTATAGGGAACACATTTTCTAGTCCCGAGGGATTAAGACATATTTTTCATAAAGCGAACTACGGATATAACGAACTTTTTTTATAACAAAGCATATTTTCGATACCAATATTCAGTTTTCATTAATTTTAATTTGGTTATACGAACTTCTTATAAACATTTTTAATACTTTACGTTGTAAATCCTCACAAAAGCTAATTTTTACAACAAAAAAACAGTTTTATGCCATTTTTTCATAAATGAGTGGAGTTATGGCACATGTTTACATTTCGGCACAACATTTTCTTAGTCTTTTAGATAATTCTCAAACAGAGCTTTTCTCTAGAAGTACTTAGGCTTGGCGTTGTGGACGTAACATTGGGGAAGAAGGGTTTTTTGTTTAGTGGAGTGATACATGACTCCCTGGGACAATATCCGAAGCAAAAAAAAAACTAAGAGAACTGATGAGGATTTATGGCGAAATCCGAAACTATAGTCTTCTCTGCCTTTCCCGAAAGTAATCAATGTGACCACAGCCCACTCTAAAAATAAAAATCTTCTTGCTCTTATTTTTTAAAACAACAAGAAAGGGATTAAGCTGGCTTACCAAAAAAGTAATGATGTATATTTATTAAATTTTAATTTTTAATATAACTAAATATAAATTTCTCACTAAGCATTTGCATTTGCTTTACCTTGGTTATAACAAACTTCATCTATAAAGAACAACTTTGTCCCTACAAGTTTTCTATAACCGTACTTGACTATTTAGTACAGTCAAGCATGATATCGAATTCCACTAGAGTTTTCCCACTTCGTCCCCTCAAGCACGTGCAATTTATATTTTATAGAAAAATGTCGGTCCGAAAAGTCATAGTTTAGCATGCTGTAACGATTGATGAAATGTTTGACTCATTCTCCCTAATAAAGTCAAAAACTGTGGGGCATGATGGCTTGACTCTTAAATTTCTAAAAATGATGTTACCTCTTGTGGGTAGCCATATTCTTAATGTTGTTAATACTGTGATTATGACCTCTTGTTTTCCATCCCAGTGGAAAATAGGCAAAATAATTCCAATTCGGAAATCTGATGCACCTAATGATTTCAGGCCAATATCAATTATGCCAATTCTTTCCAAAATGGCTGAACACATAATGAAAAGGCAGATCATGGAGCATATATCATATCCCCTTTTGCTACATGATGCCCAATATGGGTTTAGGCGTGAAAGAAATGCGACATCGCTCCTGGTAGGTCTTAAAGATAGCATTCGACAAGTTGTCAGCAACAAGGGATATTGTATGCTTCTTTGAATTGATTTAGAAAAAGCTTTTGATAGGCTTGATCATGAATTGTTGATTGTTAAGTCATGTATCCACTTCGGATTTTCTAAAACAGCATGTTTGTTAATAAAATCCTACCTAGAGGAAAGATTTCAATATGTGGTCGCTAGTGGCAAACAATCTAATATTTTAACTGTTACTAGTGGTGTTCCTCAGGGGTCAGTGCTAGCCCACTTCTATTTATATTGTTTGTAAATGATTTTTTTGATTTAGTCGTTTCCAACAATTGTCAGCCCTTTTCATTTGCTGATGATATTCAACTACTGTTTAAGTGTGATGGTACATTCCCTGATGTTATGCAAAGTGCTATATCGTTTGCTATCTCTACAATGAATAATTGGATGTCTCTCAATAAATTATCGGTAAATCCGAATAAAGCGAAAGTATTAAAGTTTGGTCCCCGTGATGGGGTTGAAGTAATAGTCAAGTTCGATAACATTGAAATTGAATTTGTGGAGAGCATTAGATGTCTTGGTGTTGTACTGAACAGGGAATTGTTGTTTGAGTCTCATGTTAACTTGTTGGTTTCTAAGATAAATTACATGTTGAGGAAGCTTTATAGTTCTAAGCTTTGTCTTGTTGTTGAAATGAGGAAATACATTGCAAACATGTATTTCCTCATTTCAAATTTATATTTTTAATATTTTTTACATTAATTTACATTTATAATTCTACTTGTTTTATTGCACATAGTAATTGCCACTTTGAGTAGTTTGCCATAAATATATAAATTGTGGACTGTACTTACCTTAAAGTCCGAAAGTGAAGCCATTAAATCATCCAATTCTTTTGTGGCAGATGATGCGTATGCCTGATGAGTTGCATTGTTGGGTGTGAATGAGTCCTTTTGTCTTACAACTTTCTCCTCAACTTGTCTCACTACAATAAATGTAATACAATAAGAATTTAAGCACCGTAATACTTTCAAATATATATTTACCTGGCCCTTCTGGTCCAGCAAGATTTTCTGTTTTTGTTTCTCGTACAGTAATCGTAACATGACGACCGGGCGTTGGAGATTTACCACGTACACTGTGACAGTACAATAATGGATTTATTACAAATACATTTTTAAAAAATTAATACACTTACCCATTTGGAACAGCATATAGGGAGGCGTTGTCCATTTCATTCAAGAGACTATCTACCGTGGGTCGTTCTTCTACAGATGCGTAACTATTGTAAGTATTGTATTTGGAAGAAGGTGTACTATGGAATCCAGGGGGTCCAGCATTATCTACAATTATTCAACAACATTCAATTAAGAGTAATTCTAAAAAAAATAACTATTTTACTATTGACTTAATTGAAAAGAGAAACGTGACAAGACACGCTTATTTAGGGCGTTAATTAAATTTGATTGAGAACGGATGGAGTAAAGGCAATGGAAATCCATGGGAGTAGTGGTTATCAATATCGGACTTTGTCGTAGAATAGTAAGGAAATAAAATACCTCAAGCGGATTAACTAGTAATTTTAAGATCAATGTGGTGTAGGAATTGTATCCCTTACTATATACCAAAAACATCGAACAAATTTACCAAAAACCGAACTCTTAGTCTCTAGTCAGAAACTGGAAGCTAGGTAGCAAACACTAGATTGCCCTTATAAAATACGGCTATCTCCTACTATCGCGACAGATTGGGGCATTTTGGAATATAATTTGTATGTATTTGTTATGGAACACGTGCTTGCCAACATCTCCAAATTTATGGACGAGTTTTCCAAAGAATTTCTAAAAAAAATCTTTGAAAAAAAAAACATTTATTGGAGCAAAATTTTTCTGGGTAGATATCGACATTTGGTACTGAATATGATTTTTTATTAAAAATTATGATCCCTAAGATTGAAGTCTGTATAAATTCAATGTGAAGAATTTGAAGAAAATCGTTAACTGCAAAAACCACATTCTGCAAACTCACTTAGCTAAATGGAATAAATTTTGTCTGAAATAGATTAAGATTGCAGTCGATCTAAGTTCAATGTGAAAAGTTTGGTGAAAATCGCTAACGGCGAAACCCGCATTCTATAAACGCACTTTGCTAGATAGAATAAAATTAGTCTGAAACCATCCAAAGATCGTTGGTGTCTAAAATTGTTTTGTCAATGGTTTTCATGTATTCCAGCACAGTTTGGATTTAACTTATGTTGGATATTTGCCACGTACAATGTGTCAGTATACGAAGACACTTGGTAGGATAGTTGTTGCAGTTAGTCTATAAACAATTTCTCGCGGGTCACACCGGAATTATATACAGTATTTTTCGGTTAATTGCACATCAAAATTTGCACAAATTTTTGTTCAATTAACCGAGGAACCAATTATCCGAACCCGCTTAATTGAATAGTTTGTTCAATTACAGTAATCACGTATAATTGGAACTACAAATGATTTTAAAAAATCCAATGTCAAATTCAACTTACGCTTTCTCGCAGTTTTTCCTTAGCAATAAACATATGTTTTGAATTAAATTATGTCAAATATGTATGTAAAAAATTACAGATTATTTGTCAATTATTATTATGCAATTAACCGGTGAAAAGTAAAAGGAAATTTATTTTTGATGACATGAATTTTGAACCATGTGGTTCAATTAAGCGTGAAACCAATTAACCGTAGGGTCAATTAACCGAAAAATACTGTACAACATACTTGCCAGAAACGCTACCGGCCTACACACTATAAATGTGAACAACTCGAAAGCTTTTAGCACAACACGTCTAGAAGAGAGGTCATGGGCGAAAGAAAGAACACAAACATATTATTGGGAAACCCAAATGAAGATAAGACTAAGCTAATTTTAATGCTTAAAAAAGGAATATCAGCAGACTGACAAGTACTCTCATAGGATATCTATATCTGCAGGCACATTTACCAAATTGGATGAGTTGGAAGCAGCAGGTGTAGAGCATGTGTAGAAGACAACGAAACATTCGAACATTTCCTATTCCACTGCCCAGAATTTGCAATCCTTCGAAATCAGTTCATGGGAGTGGGCGTGAATGGAAAATATTTCATTTTACATTTCATTGTTTTGGAATAAAATTAATTTGAAACCAGATGGACAAATATAGGGACATTATCTATAATTAAGTTATATTCAAATTATATAAGTAAAAATACGTCCTTATCAAAATAAGGCAATGTACGTGTCACCAGCAACCTAATTTCCAGGATACACCGATATTGTAATTTTCACTACATACAAATTTCCCTTTAGAATATATATTAAGAACCCAGAATTCGTTTTTGAGCTATGGCGTGATGAATTTTTGTGGCTATTGCAGGTTATTTTGAGATGACATGTATTCAGTCAACTCGACTGACAAATATTTTTGAAAAACATATCCTCATTCTATGTTGAGTCCCTTTGTGTCTTTTTTGTCCTTAATTTCCAAGTATGCAATACATTACAACAACAATTTTTTATCGTAAATTACATCCACAAAATTCGTTTAATTTTCCCAGTGTACTTTTCGAATTAATGAAATTACTAACCTTTTCTGTCATAGCCATTGCCGTTGTAACGGGCACTGCTCAAATCTTGCAACAATGAATCCAATTCGGATAAATTACTCGCCGTATTCAATTGTTGTGAAGGGCCGCCTCCATTGATGCCATTGTATTGCTGGCGGGGTATGGCTCCTTGATTTTGATACTGACTAGATGTGGAGTTTAGTGGTCCATTGTAGCCGCCAGATGGCGATACAGATGTACGTGTCTCCGAATAATGCTCTTGATAGATTGGCTGAAGATGATTACGCCGATGATGATGATGATGGTAACGGCGACAGCAAAAAACAACAATTTAAATAAACAAAAGATTAAATTATTTTATAAGTTATTCAATGTATTAAAACAGACACACACATACCTGCGTTGGAGGAGCTTTACCCCGAAGACTGCCATAGCCGGATGATGATTCGATGTAATTGTGCTGCGGTGGAGGTACTTGACGTTGTTGCTGTACTGTCGTTACTGTTTGAGTTGTCGTACCATATTGTTGCGGTTGATGACCGGGAACACTATTCTGCAAATCGGCAAGTAATGCATCTGCAACAAAGAAGAAAACACAAGCAATTATTAATCATTTCAATTACTAGTAGTGGACGACAATTTAAGTCTATTAATAGAGTAATTATGGTGGAAATACCGAGATTGTCATAATCGCCTGGTTTACTCATTATTTAATTCCAAATGGAAATCGAGTCTTGTTATTTTCACAAAGTTGTTATTCTTAGTTCTGTAAAAAATAAATCATTCCACAATGACCAACTAAGCGTTACTACTATACCAAACCAACTGACGACTCTTATCAGTACATAGTATAGAAGAAAACCTGACAATAAAGCTCTTACGCCAGTTAGAATTTTATCTTTGACTCTCTTATAGTGAAGCGTAACGTAGCATTTCTTATCGAAAGATGGGACGAATATTCACACTGTATGCACATAATGTGTTGAACTGTATAAAAAAATATATATATTTAAAATTACAGTCGTGTCTGTATATCGTGAACTAATTTTGTCAAGAAATTTGTAGTTGAAAATTTAAAAAGTTCATTGAAAAAATCCCGAACAGATGCTTTCTTCTTAGGCTCAGAAATCACTTTTACGTAGACTTCGCAATACAAATATTCCAGAGTAATCGGAAGTGTTAGTCTCAGCCTAAGGGATAGTTTTGTCAAAATATGCAATAACTTCAATTTGAAACGTATCATTTCTTTTTTGAATTATTTTTATCTGAATTCTTATTATGTACATTATTTTTTAGTGTAAACACGTCAATCTAATTCCAATAAAGTCAGATTTCATCGCCCTTTTTTAATAAATCTATCGGGGCATAATTTTAAGGATGATTTTATATGTATATTTAAGTAAGGAGTTGTGTACACAGCACACTGTTGCACTATTACGTTAAGATTTAAAGTAGGCTAGTCCACATAAGACATATGTATTTATAGATTAATATAAGGTTTAGCTATTTATCCTAACATGTAAGCGATGTATTTGATTAAATAAAATGACATAGCCAATAAAATCAGCTACTCTCCGAGTCCGGACCATCCGACTATAATTCGTTTAGCGAACACTGAAGGCTTAAGATCATTATCTACGCTTGCCCAAGTTGATGGACTCAGATCATAAACTGAAAGCAATTCCTAAACAAGGAGTAAAAAGTTAATCTTGTAAATCTCGTTGTTTCGGATGAAGCCATACCAACTCCGCTAACGAGCTTCTTCAAATTATTTTAACAGGTAATTCGGACCTCGCCAAATTTTATTTTTCAATAAAAACATAAAATTATTTTAATTAATAAAAATTTAAATCAAATTAAGAACCTTGAAAATCCGAAAAATTTGGCAATCCAGATTGTGGTCTGCAATCACCACTGCACTGTTGGCCAAAACTAAAGCAACTGAATAAATGACCTACAACATTTTAAAAATAAAATTATAGTGAATACTTTTTTTTCCTGAAATAAGCAGATAATTTATTCATTTTTTGGAAAACAAAGTATAAACGCAAAATTATTCTATGGAAAACTAAATTGATCCAATTTAAAGCAACTTTTTGATTTTTTTCTAATAAATAAGCAAATTTTGCTAGTAATCGACAGCATAACCAATTTCATACTTGGGTATACTAATCTTCGCATCCTGCACCTTTGGGAAGAGGTTATGTCAGTTTATTTATGAAACTCTTTTGATTTTGCAATCGATGATACTTCAAAGATTTTCTATATGGTAAAGATATGATGGGTATGTTGACCATTATTAAAACCTGCTTTTTGACTCCCGCAACCAATCTTTGCCATGTTTTGGTGTATGTCATCAATAATAACCGAAATAGGAGATTATTGTCAAGCTGAAACAACCAAACAAGCGGTATATTTTTTTCAGCGAAGGAAACCATAGCGTATTCCAACACATCTGTATAAACAATCCGATCAATCAGTTCATAAAGTCATAAATAGATCGAACACCAAAAAAGGAAAATGCTGCGTTCCTCCTTGATGATCTGTCACTACTGACCTTCTTGCATAAAACACATGTTTTTGTAATAAAGTCCCATAGTAATTATAACCATTAAAAATAATTAAAATTTCAGTACTCATCTGTTTGTACAGCACAGTTGCTGTAGTTTCGTCCAAACTAAAATTGAGGCAATTTGCTTTTCCATACATTATTATTTATTTCAAATAGATTTTTTTAAGTTAATAAAGTACCCGATTTAAAACTAATACAATATGTTTATTTTTGACAAAGTTATGTGACATTTTTTATCTTTGCAATTTTAGTTGCTTTAGTGTTGCCTACTAGTGTATATTGAATAGCACATAACTATACCATGGTGCTACATCTTTGCATTCGGTAGATACAGTACATTCTTTCCAAAAAAATAAACGTCCAATACCAAGATAATAATTTTTTAGTTACAGGGTGTATGCTTATTTCACGACCAACACTGTATATGACTATTATTATCAGCATGCATTTGATTTATTTGATTTCATTCACATGTTTCTATGTATGCATTTTATCACTGGAATAGAATTTTTATCAGTCGCACAGCTCTATGATTAACGATTTTTTTCACCGAACATCACTTACCTAAACGTCTTTCGAACTCGCCCACCTTAAAGCTGTCGTTCGGTGTGCTATGAAATGATGATGACAATAGTTTTGCAGACATTCCTTTAAAATGGCTTTAAACGTTCGATGTTTTTATTTTATTTTTTCGAAAGTAATTAGTTCAATTTATTTTTATAAAAAATTCTCACACTTTGAGCTCGGTATTTAAAAACTTTTTTTCAATGAAATGGTAACCAAAATATCAATAATAAAACAAACGAATAAAACGGCACATAGTAAGCAATCAATCGAAGATAAGAAAACGTTGGTGTGAACGATTCAATAATCCACACATAAATGGCAATGTTGAAAATGGCAGAGGCGACTTCATACACACATGTACATAGATGGACAAACGGACAAGCAAATCATACCAATTTTGGGAAATTGGTACGAATCGTTTTTTCCATTTTTCCCAACTTTTTTGTTGTCGATGGCGAAAATGAAATTGAAATTAAGTTGTGATGTGTATGCTGTTTGTATAAATACCAACAACAACAACAATAAAACAATCATAGAATTTTGTTGGAGTGGCCCATCAAGAGGCAATATATGGACGCAAAAAAAAAAAACAACAACAAACCTAAATTAGATAATCGATGAAATGTCTGTAGATGCATAAATCGTGTGGGGGGTCATATGGTCTATATATTATGCCCAAAGATGATTCGATGAATGGATGAATGACTGAATAAAAACGTTAATTTTTAAGAATGGTCTAAAACCCATCCACCCACCGCATTCTTAGCGAAAAGCCTCTGTCGTTCAAATGGCAAATAGCTTGATTCGACCTGATCGCGCCATTCTTGGCGTTTCTGTTGTGGGCTGATACAATGCTTTCAAAAGTAGCTTTGACCTAATAATGTTAAAAAGCTTTTACACTTTATTCTGTTTGATGTTGTTGTTGTTTTTATTTTTTGGCGTTTACGTTCACCATGATTTTTGAGTTTTATCAATTTTATCAATGACCAGAAACAATAAAACGGGATCGACATATATTCACAAAATTAAAAGCAAAACAACAATTTCGAAAGACATCGATATCACGAATTTGCATGTCGGGGCCCAATTAAGGACAATATGATTTGGAATAACAATGATTATTGGTAAATATGTTAACTAAAATATGAATAAGTCAAGCGAAATAAGAAATAAGTTAATAATGATATTTCGAACATACAGTATGTCAAGAATGAGTTTACACATGAATAGTTATTAAGCATTTTCAAATATAGAGCTCAAAATAACGCTAATATTATAATATTTGGTATTTTTTTAAATTATTTTAATATAATACAGTTTGAGTCATTTGTGTCATTTAGTACAAACTAAAAGAAGAGAACAATTTTCTGTATCCAAATTAAATCTACTAAAAGAATCACATCATTGTTTTTTTTTTTTAATTATCATAAAATTATGCAATGTGTAAACTCATTCTTGACACACTGTCTGCATGTTATTCATCCTTTGACCATACAGCTATTTTCTATAACCTGAACGATCTGTTTATCGCGCAATTATGGCAGAAATTTTTAAGACATACGGAAACTAATAATAACTAAACTATGATAACGGTTAAATGGCATTTTTATGTTCTCCCACATTCGACTTTTCATTACACATAGTTCAAACACTACAATGTAAATATTGCTCTTTTGGGACTAGTGCATACTTTTAGGCGCCATAAAAAGTTTGTAACATATATAAAATTCAAATAGTACGTTTACACTGTACTGGATTTAGACAGGTTATAATGATCGATCAATATCTTATCGTGAAGGGTATGTCCAACTTATTTCTATTTTTATTATTATATAACAGTTCAAATTTACTTGACATGAAAAAAGTAGGAATGTATAAGTATAATAATCTTCAATTTTATTTTTAATTAGAATATATATAGTCAACGCTCGGAAAAATAAATAATCAATTTAACGAGCAAAATATTTTTTTAGTGACTACCGCATATAAAGATTGTTGTGCAAAATATAATGCGTTTGCTTTATAAAAAAAGTAGATATGTTATTATTTTATTTGTTACAAATGATATGAAACGTGAACTAGCTTTTTTGATTTTTAATACAATTACAATATAAAATAACCTTTTTTTATATAACTATCGCTATATGGAATGAATCATTCGTTATTCCGAGCGTTGACTGTATATATAATTCACTAGACAAAAATATATATTTACAAATATTGTTTGTTTTTAGTTTCATCATATTTTTGCATTGGCAATGGCTGACGATATATGTATTAATGTATTTAAATTTTTGTATTTTTATAGAACATTTTTTCTCATTTGTGAAACTATCTCTATGTGTGTGTACCTATATATATATATAATATAATATGAAACACCTGTGTTCATTATGAGAGAAGGTGGCCAATGCCAAATGTCTAATAAAAATGAACC